GGGTGGCGGGGCCAGTAAAGCACGGCGGCGAGGCCGCGAATCAGGGGCGGCGGGGCCGCGACAGTAGGGCGGCAGGGCCGCTAGGGGAGGGAAGGCCGCTAGGGCGGCTCGTCGAGTTAACAGCCCGAGGCGCGACTCGGGATGAGCGCGCTTCGGGCAGTAAAAAAAAATCGAAGTGGTGGGCCCTATGCGCAGTTCCCACAGGGGAACGTGCTTGATACCATGTGAGAATTTGAACGAGAATGAATGAACTATGAATGAAGTGGGTACAAGTACTAACCCTAATTGGGTTGTACCCCCTATGGGATACCCCACTACAGCCTACACAAATGTATAAGCTATATAATGTTCTGACATGCACCATGTGTGGCTGAGTCAGAGCGATGGTTCGAGCAGCTGTGTTGCTGGTGATCGGCAAGCCAAGGTAGCAGCACAGTTTACCAAGGTCAATACACATGTGTCGCTTCTACAATTCATACTTCACGAAAGCCAGAGAAACCCTGTCTGCTATAGCGAAGACCAAGTTGTCAATATAGACGAGGACGAAGAAATTAGTGGGGCCAGAATGAACAAAGAGCGACGGTTCAGCATATGAAGGACATAATACGAGGTTAGCAAGAATCTCGTGCCACTAACGAGCGCCCGCAAGAGACCGTGCACTAGTCGTCTCATGCTCCACTGGGTCCTAGGCGAGAATGTTCCAGTGAAGCCAGGAGGACGACTCAGCCAGATCTCTTGCTAGAAGCCCCAGAGAAAGGTGTTACAAAATGAGAATCAATGACTAAGGAAAGAACAAACAAGCAAGATACAGAAAGCCTAACCCTAACACTAGGGAAGAGAAAGTACACCTAGACTAACAACTAGAAGCTATAACAAATATAGCTTGACACAACCCCATAGTCTAGGTGATGGTAGTCTTGTGGAAAGCAACACGTAACAAAGGTCACAACACCAGTCAGCAAGAACAAGCAACGGTCACAAGGCCAGTTTACAAGAACACAACAAATCTCGAGGTGGATCTCAAGATTACCACACAGCCTGAAAACAAGGGGCCACATGCAAGGATATAGCAAATATAGAAAATGCAAATGTATAAGACAAGCATCTCTACACAAGCAAGAGGCCATAAGGCCAATCCACAAGAAGATATATATAGCAAATATAGAGACATGCAAGAGTACAATGCAAAGCATCTTTACACAAGCAGGTGAGGGCCTGTAGGTACAAGCCCCAGCTGGGTGCAAAAATGCTAGTGGTCATAAGGTGGCAACGCCTTGGTGAAGATATCTGCAGTGTTGGCATCAGAGACCACACGTACCATGCGGGCCAGGCCACGCTGGTGCAACTCACGCATAAGAAAGTAACGAAGTTGGATATGCATCGCCTTCCCAACCAGTTGGGGCTCCTCGCACAACCGGATAGCGTACCTGTTAACGGCGAACAAGACTAGGGGAGAGGGAGGCCGCTCACCAAGGTCGGTGAGGAGGAGAGATAGCCAGCGAAGCTCCTAGGCGTCCATGCCACAGTGTACACCTCTGCCTCACATCTGGAACTGGAGACTGACGACTCCCGAGTCGACCTCCACGAAACAGCTCCGATCCCAAGACTGAAGCAGTAAACCTATATAGACCGTAGCGACTCTGCGTCGTTGGCCCACGACGAGTCCGAGTTTCCTGTAAGTGTAACTGGCTGCTTCCCTCTAAGGACAAATCCCATGCCTGATGTACTCGCCACATATTTCTCCACCCTCTTAGCCGCGTACCAGTGGGAAGGTCAGTGTCTCCCAGGCGCAACAAAGCGCACTAGGACACTAAGAGGGTAAGCTAGGTCTGGGCGAGTGCAGGTCATCAGTGTTGTATGCACGTCAGTATGAGTGCATGTCATCCTAACGTCCTGTTGTGTGCTCGTGCAATCCATGCTTGCATCATTTGCATGAGCATAAACCATTATGCATGGCTGTTGGATATTACCACCTCTGTGTTTTTCTCCTAGTCTAAATGCTTGATCACGCAGGAGAAATCCAAAGCTTTCCAACGATACCAAGATCTCCTTATTCTGACCAAGATCGCCCAAGTTACAAGATTTCTAAGATTTGGAAATTCGATCTTAATTGGGATAATAACTAAATTGGGCGATTATTGAGACATGCTTATAAAGGGATCTTGGTTTGGGTGGTTGGGAAGGCAACTTTGACTTTTGGATTGGGGTGGATAGAAGTTTCTAGCATGGGTTGCAAATGTTGCAACACCTTGGCAAAATCCAATTGGATTGGATTTTGGATGTGACACCTCAAGGACCTCATCATGAGGGTTGCATCTTTGATGCTAGGAAGGTTCCTACTATCCTCCTCTAGCATTCGGAGAGCATTCCCTCACAAGGTTCTCTTGAAACCCCCCAAAACCTCATTCTATGCCTAGTGTTTGTTCTTCCTCCATCCTTTCTAGTGAAAGCAGCAGCTATACGTTCTTACTTCGTTCTCACTCCCTAGACAATGAAATCAAGTGATTCAACTTTCCAATGGTAGCTAAGACCAGCGCGCACAATTCTACCAAGCGGATTTGCATTAGATTGAGATTTGAGTTCGTCGTAAGTCTTCAAAATGACCGATTCCTAAGCAACAAGTGGTATCAGAGCGGGTGGTCGACTTTGAAGTGACGAATCGTCATCGATTCTCAACCAATGTTTACGAGTGAGAACATTTTCTTGTAGCTATGCTCGCATTCTTTCGATTAATAATTCAAATTGTGCTAACCGTGATGGCGTTTTTCGTAAAAGCGAAATTTCTGGGAGAATCCTGTCCAAGCGTTTTTTCTCAAGATTCCACCGTGCCTAAGGCCTTGTGATGGCTGAGACGGACTCCAGAGGTGCTAATGATGAGATGGATGGGAGTGAAGAGGCTGGAGAGCAAGGGAGAGTAGTTGGTGGTGGAGTGCGTCAAGGCTGCCCACTAGCACCATACCTCTTTCTGTGCGCTGTGGAGCCTCTGGTACAGAAGGTGGAGAGGAGTCAGCTGGGTTTGGATATCGCCGGACAGCGCCTGGCATACCTCGGGTATGCAGATGACACAAGTTTAGCTCTGCAGGGGAGGGAGCAGATCAACAAGGCGGAACAAATATTAGACGAGTTTCAGCAGCAATCCGGTCTCTCGACCAACAAAGCGAAAACGGTGGTTCTACCTCTGGGTCTAAACCTTGGAGCTTTGGAAAGTGGAGACTTCAAGTGGGCGAAGCCTCAAGAGGCAGAAAGGCTACCGGGGGTTCGGGTAACACCAGATGGCAGCGGACTTCCCATCTGGGAGAAGGCATTGGGGGAGATCACTAAGCACTTGATAAGCTGGAAGCAGAAATTTCTCACGGAGAAGGCGAGAGGGGCGGTGGCGAATCACTACATTCAGCCCGTGATGACCTTTCAAGTGCAATTTTACCCGCCACCTTCAAAAGTATGGAAGGAGCTGGAAAGGTTAATACACAACTTTGTCTCGAGCAACAAAGCAACGCCCACAAAGGTCTTTCTGCTGTGGGGCAAGGAGTTGCTCTACACCCCGAGGATGGACGGCGGGTTGGGGGTCCATGACCCAAGTGTAACACTCGCGTGCCTGGCCACCAAGAGAGTCGGCTTGATGATGACGGAAGCTGATCAGCTTAAGAGGGAATTGATGGTGCGCACGGCTGATCTTCCGTTAGGTCTTGACACCTTCACCTCGCACGATCGCCTCCTGCGCAACTGGGAAGGGAGAAGCCAGCGCTGGAAGCAGACATGTGAAATTTTCATGGAATCGCCCCTTAGTGTTTGGTCGGTGGAGATCACGCCAGAGGAGGTCGCAAAGGAGAAGCTGGTCTTCAACCGCGCCATCATGATGGGAGTGACAGCCCCGGTGGGCGGGCAAAAGTATGCAGAGCAGCTGTGGGACTGGGTGATGGGTGACCTGGTGAAGTTGAAACAGGACGGCAGCTGGGAGCAGAAATCCATGGCGGAGCTCACAGAGCAGCTCGGTGGGAAGGGGCCTGCCAGGCTCGTTCTAAAGGCTTTCACAGCAGCACCAGGAGAATGGAGGGAGGCTCTCGTGACCCCCTGCACGAACCCGGCTGGTGGGGTTTTGGGAGCAGTAGCAGTCCTCCCGCGCATCCCAATCCTGGAAAATGGGGGAGTGATTTCGCAAAAGAGAATGCGGGAGCATTGGGAGGGGAAGCATGCGCAGTCACATCGGATGCTACGCTGGGTAGGCAGGTGGAGCGGTTCAATAAACTGGAAAAAGATTTTGGGCATTCGGGAGTCCTTGGTCACTCCCAGCAAACCAAGAGACGTCCTAACGCGGGTGTATAATTTCAACCTTCAAGTGGGGGAGAGGCTCGCCTTCCTCAACAACAAACCCCTTTGCCCACACTGCAACAGTGAGGAGACACTGTAGCATTGCCCTTTCACCTCCCCGCGGATCCAAACAGTGATTATTGCGCTGAAGCGAGCTCTCCGCATGTTGAACCTACGACGGGTCATGGACTCTCTGGAGGACCTTCTTTTCCGCAAAGTTGGTACAGTTTCAGCTTTCCCGGAAGCGACTCTCATTGCAATCACGCTACATCAGATCTGGCTGGAGCGGTGCGAAGCTGTCTTCAGGGGGCGCAAATTCAGAGCGCGCCGAGTGCTGAGGAGGATTCTGTTCGCCTTCCGTTTACACGCGAGAGTGTTCATGAAAGCACGCTTGACAGCGTGGCAGAAGAAAAGGAAATAGGCGCTAGAAGGCAGTTTCGACAAGAGCCTATTGGCGGAACAACGGGTGATGAGCAAGATACGGCTGGCGGGAGAGAAGAAGTGGACGTGAACCGGAGGTCTCAAGTCCATCTGGACTAACCCTAGGACAGTGTTCAACCCACCGTATAGGAATGGGCGGAATGTCGGAAAAACTAGACAGAGTGAGAATAGAAGGAGGTGAGTGCACGGGGGAGGGTAAGAGGCGGCAGGGGGGAAGCGGAGTGATGGGGAGGGGGAGAGTAGGTGCTGTCCTAAGGGCAAAGGGAGGTGTCGTCCCAACTGAAAGGGAGGAGAGTGCATGGGGGAGGGGAAGAGGCGGCCAGAGGGGAAGGGGATAGGTGGGAAGGGGGGATCGAGGTGCTGTCCGAGGGGGAAGGGAGGTGTCGTCCCAACCGAAAGGGAGGTGAGAGCATGGGGGAGGGGAAGAGGCGGTCAGAGGGGAAGGGGAGTGATGGGGAGGGGGAATCAAGGTGCTGTCCGAGGGGGAAGGGAGGTGTCATCCCAACCGAAAGGGAGGTGAGAGCATGGGGGAGGGGAAGAAGCGGCCAGAGGGGAAGGGGAGTGATGGGGAGGGGGAATCGAGGTGCGGTCTAAGGGGGAAGGGAGGTGTCGTCCCAACCGAGAGGGAGGAGAGAGCATGGGAGAGGGGGAGAGGCGGCCAGAGGGGAAGGGGAGTGATATGGAGGGGGAATCGAGGTGCGGTCCGAGGGGGAAGGGAGGTGTCGTCCCAACCGAAAGGGAGGTGAGAGCATGGGGGAGGGGAAGAGGCGGCTAGAGGGGAAGGGGAGTGATGGAGAGGGGGAATCCAGGTGCTGTCCGAGGATAGAGGGAGGTGTCGTCCCAACCGAGAGGGAGGTGAGAGCATGGGGGAGGGGACGAGGCAGCCAGAGGGGAAGGGGAGTGATGGGGAGGGGGAATCAAGGTGCTGTCCGAAGGGGAAGGGAGGTGTCGTCCCAACCGAAAGGGAGGTGAGAGCATGGGGGAGGGGAAGAGGCTGCCAGAGGGGAAGGGGAGTGATGGGGAGGGGGAATCGAGGTGCTGTCCGAGGGGGAGGGGAGGTGTCGTCCCAACCAAAAGGGAGGTGAGAGCATGGGGGAGGGGAAGAGGCGGCCAGAGGGGAAGGGGAGTGATGGGGAGGGGGAATCGAGGTGTGGTCCGAGGGGTAAGGGAGGTGTCGTCCCATTTTATTGTCATTCTGTTCTTCTCATTCTCGATATTCGATATTCTGCGCACTTTGCAAGTTCGTTCATAGCACCTTGTATCAGAGCTAATTTCCTAGCCTAGCCCGTTCTTTAAAGTGTAATATTATCGGGGGGGGGGGGGGGGGGGGGGACAAGGAAGGATATCTTGGGGTCCATGGATTTATCGTGCACTTCTTGGCACCGCCGGATCCTTACCTTCGACAGTCGCGATCGGCCGTGACCTCCCTCCTCCCGGGCAAGGACAGCTGTAGCTGTCGCAACATTCAACGTGAGTTACTATTCCGCTGCATTTTTACCGACGATTTCGGAGCTTTGTGAGGCAGCTGGTGTTAGCGGGCCTGCGTCGGCAACTGCACGAAATTTGCAGAGTCGTTATCGTGTGTGGCAACTGACGTCGTCGAATATGAGTCAACAACTGTGCGACAATTTCGGAGTGTGGCTCGGCAGCTGTTGACAACAGCCATGCGTCGCTATGGGCGGAGCTTCAAAAGAAAAAACCAGGGGCAGCTGGAAAGACTCGCCAAGCACTAAAGTAATTTCGTCAGGAGAGACGCCACGTGAGTTGCCCGATTTATGCAGGGTCAACAGCCGTTTAGCCCGACCTGAAGTGCAGTGGCTTTTACTGCATTGGGGGGCGCGTCAATCAACAATTTCAGCAGAACTGTTTGTGGACAGACAAGACTTCATACCTGCTGGCACTTACGGGCTGCAATGGAAAACGCGGTGGCTAAATCGCACTTAAGAGAAGTGGGGAACGGGCGACGAAGGAAACCGAGACAGGTACACCATGGAAAGAACTTGATTGACACTGCGTGCTTGGTGTTGTTGCAAGCTGGCCGACGATTCCGAGAACGCCTCACCTTGGAACTTGTTTACGGGGATAGCAGCAAGTGACCCACGATCAAACGACGTTCAAGGTAGTACCTAGCATTTACAGAGGAGTCGGTATAGGCCGCCAGGACATTCGGGAAGAAACTGCCCAAAGGCTAAGCGGGAGTTGAAGAACGTTGTGGGGAGCAGATTAAAAGCCAGTGGAACCAATCTGTGGCCCTACATCGCGCGAACCTCACCATCCTCACCAATTACCGGTTCCGACTCATGCAGTCGACCTGATTGGGCCGAATAACGGGGGTGAATACGCACCTACCTTGTGCTGGTTAAAGGCACCTACATTGGTGCCCGTTCGAGATCTGTACAGAAAAGACAAAAAAAAGGGAGCTCACGAAAAAGTGGGTTGGGTGAACGGCACGCGAAAAATTCGCGGAGCTGCGAAGAAGCTTTGGTGCAATTTACAGGTTTCTCCCGACCCTTGCGTCTACACGACTTGATGGCGCAGCAACGAAGCTGAGACCCGGAAGCTGTGGAGTTTTCGTGTCGTGATAGGCACGGCGGGCTGCAAAACGGTTGGGCGATAGGCTACCTCGACTCCAATAGTTTTTGCCCCTCCTTCGTAGTCGGGTTCTCACGGGCAACAACGACAATACCTCATCCGACAAAAGCGGGCGTTGGGTGAACGGCGGTTTTGCGATATTGTTGGGGAGTCAAAAACCCACAAAAAAGGGGGAGCTTCATGCCAGGAGAATAAACGAGGAATGTGTGATCTAGCAACATGCATGAGTACATGTAGTAAACCCTAATTCGGTTGTACCCCATATGAGCTACCCCACTACAGCCTACACAACATGCAGCATATATAGTTTGACACACCCCCATAGGTAAAGTGGGGGAGAACAAGAGGTCACAATACCGGTCAAGAAAAGCAAAGCAAGCTGAGAGTGGATCACAAAGTCACCACACACTCTGAGCACAAGAAAATGGCCACAAGGCCAGTTCACATATCGAGTTATGTAAAGCAGAACAAGCAATACAGTGATCAAAACCTAGCAAGAGTAAGCATGCACGTTTAAGTATATAGATAACCGAACAAGCAAAGTCAAGAAGTGAGATAGTGAGGGCAAGTAGGCACAAGGCCTAGAAAAGTATGAAAACGCTGATGATCACAAGGCTGAAGTGCCTTGGTGAAGATATCAGCAGTGTTGGCCCGAGAGGCCACGTAAGCAAGACGAAGCTGTCCACGCTACAGCAACATTCAAGCAAGGAAGTAACGCAGCGCGATGTGCTTCATCCTGTGCTCGAGTCTGTGCTCCTAACACAAGACAATCATGGCCTTGTTGTCGACGTACAGAACAAGAGGAAAACTAGGTGCCTCGCCCAAGTCGGTCAGCAGGTAGGTGAGCCAGCGTAACTCTTGGGTAGCCATGGCCCCTTCGTAGATCTCAGCCTCACAACTCGAGCTGAGAACAGAAGACGAGCGGGTAGACCGCCAAGAAACAGAGCTGGAGCCAAGGCTGAAAGTGTAACCCTGTGACGAGCGCTGTATAGCCAAGTTGTCAACCCAAGAAGTGTCTGCGTGACCAGTGAGGACAACTCGAGCCCGACCTCCAAGCACGAGCCCCATGCCCGACGTACTGCACAAGTAGCGCAACACCCTCTTAGTGGCCTCCAAGTGATCTTCTTGGTGTCTCTTGGGCGCAATATAGCATGCCAGGATGCTAAGAGGGTAAGCAAGGTCGGGTCAAGTGCAAGTCATCAGGCACATGAAGCAGCCGACAAGCTCTGGATACAGGCCACTTGGCTCTACTGGCTCATCCAAAGGCAGAGCTGAAAGCGAGAGACCGGTAGACAGAGGAGTGGAATGTGGGGAGGAGTACATGAAGCGGAAGCGCTGAAGGACCTGCTGCACCAAGTGTGACTGAGTCAGGGTAATGGTACGTCGTGCTCAGTCCTGTGTGATGTGCAAGCAAAGATAGCTGCGCAGCTCTCCCAGGTCTGTCCACGTGTGTCTCTTCTGCAGCTCCCACTTCACGTGGGCGAGTCTTTCTGTGTCAGCAGTGGCAAAGACCGAGTCGTCGACGTATATGAGGATGTAGAATGGCGGCAGCGAAGTGTCGGTGCGCAGAAAGAGCGACGGGTCAGGAGTCGAAGAAGCAAACCCAAGAGCCGCAAGTGTCGTCCTCAGTGTGTCATGCCACTCGCGAGGCGCCTGGCGGAGACCGTAGACTGGCCGCCAGAGGCTCCATTGGGTACCTACAGGAAACGACCCAGTGAAGCCAGATGGGCGGCGCAGCCAGATCTCCTCATGCAGGCTGCCCTGTAATAAAGCTGTGCTGAAATCAAGAGAATCAAGCTCGTAGTCACGCTAAGCTGCGACTTACAGCAGCACCCGAAGAGTGGTCATCTTCGGGGTAGGGGAGAAGTTGTGGAAGAAGTAAACAACATGTCGCTGACTGAAGCCTCGTGCAACGTAACGCGCCTTGAAGACAGGCGGAGAACCCGGCGGTCTCTTCACCCTGAAAATCCACATGCCACGGACGATGTTCGCCCAAGGTGGGGGAACGTCATCAAAGTAAGTGCCTGTGGACTTCCAGGATACCATCTCTGCGTTCATGGCTGACTGCCACTGAGAGGAGTAGGAACCCTCTATCGCCTCTGCATAAGAGGGCGGGGTCGGGATGTCTGGTGCATTCGGGTCTCCTTCAGGTGCAATTAGCATGGACACGAGATGAGGTACAGCAGCTGCAAAACACTCAAAGTCCTCCTGCCTTTCCTCAAGGACGTCAGTGCCAAGAGCACACTCACCCTCGACGGACGGAGGACAGACAGACTCAGACTCAGCAACAAGACTAGCGGCGAAGTCTAGGCGACAGGCGGCAGCAAAGTTAACAAGCTCACCAACAAGGGTAAACGCAGTAGTGGACTCAAATGAAGGGTCAGTGACAACAGTGGCTAGGAGATGCGTGACAGTAGGGCTGGCAGCACGAAGTGAGTTAGACCCCAGGTCTGGACCGTCAGCAAGGGAGGACGCAGGAGGAGAAGGTTGAGGGACACGCGTGGAACAGAGGAAGGACGAATTGCCATCTGGTGCGTGCCTGGGACAGGAGGAGGACGCCCACGTGGAATACGACGACCAGTGCGGACAGCGCGAACTGGCTACGAAGGGCGGGACGCAGGCTCACGACGCTCTGTAAGACCTCCGGGCAGTTAAGTGTAAGGAGAAGGGGCCGGCAGTGGGGAGGCTGGCTGTAACTGTGGCTGGGATCGGTCAGGCGGTGGACATAGTAAAGGAAGAGTAAGGCCAGTAGAAGGCGGGAGACCAAGAACTTGGTGAAGCAGCAGAACAAAGTACGGTCGCGGTCGCAAAAACCAGCACAGACGGCACCAGCACCCTCAGGGCCAGCACCTCCAGCTTTAGGGACTCCTGCTCCAAAGTCTACAGTACCACCGGCTTTTGCAGCACCTCCAGCTCCAGCAGCTCCAGTACCTCCAGTGGCACCTCCAGCTCCAGCTCCAGCACCTCCAGCTCCTGTAGCACCTCCACCTCCAGCAGCTCCAGTACCTCCATTACGAGCACCTCTGGGACCAGTGGCTCCAGCACCTCCAGCAGCTCCACCTCCAGCTGCTGCAGCACCACCAGCTCTAGCAGCTCCAGCGCCTCCAGCTCCAGCAGCTCCACTCCGGAGGCTCCTGCGCCGAGCAAACCACTCGCGCAGCTGGGGTGGAGAGAGAGGCTCCCGCCGTGACGAGACACCCGTGGGACCTCCAGCAGACAAAGTACCTCCCGGCTCAGCACGCTCCGGTTCAGCACCCCCAGGCTCAGCACCCTTAGGCTCTGCACCCTCAGACTCAGCAACCCTAGGCTCAGCACCCCCAGGCTCCGCACGCTCAGGCTCAGCACCCCCAGTCTCAGCACCCCCAGCCTCCGCTCGCTTAGGCTCAGCACCCCTAGGCCTCGCACCCGCAGGCTCAGCACCCCCAAACGCAGCACCCTTAGCAGCGCCAGAGTCGACAGCTACCTCGACATGCTTGATAGGGTCTACCTGGGACTCATCTAAGGGAGCAGGACCCGGAGGAGGGAGGGGGTCTCTCGGAGGATCTGGTGCGAGGAAGAGCGGCGGGGGGGGGGGAAGAGGGGCAGTGCGGTAGGGGAAGAGACGGTAAAAGGGAACCGACTTGTCAAACGTAACGTCCTGAGAAGGCAGGAGACGGCACGAGGTGGGGTGGTAAAACTGCCAACCAGGCAAGTCAGGGGGGAAGCCAAGAAAGACACTGGGAATGGCGCGGGAGGAGAGCTTGTCCACAGTGGTATCGCGGACAAAGGCAATAGATCCCCAGACCCGGTACACCGACGCATTGCCAACCTCTCTCGTCCAAAGCAGTGTCTGCGAGGTCTCCGGCAAGGAGACACGGAGCCAGAGGTTGAGCTGATGTGCAGCGTATCGGACAACAAGTGGCCACAGGAAATGGGGCCTAGCCGTATGGATCATGGAGGTACGAGCGACCTCCATGACTAGGCCAATGCGGCGCTCAGCAACCCCATTCTGCTGTGGAGAGGCCGGAAATGTGAACGTCTGGCGAATGGCCTCCCCACGAAAAAAGTCCTGCAAGAGGTCCGAGGAAAACTCACCACCTTTGTCAGAGTGCAAACGCATTACGGGAAGGTCCATCTCGAACCGCTCGCGGAGCTAGAGACGAACAGCGCGGATCCAAGGGATCAAAACATCAGGGACCTCCTCCTTGCTGCGCAAGGGGAAGACCGTGGTGTAACGCGAGTAGTCGTCGACAAGCATGGCGGCCCTGTCCACGGACGCGGGCTGGGCCCCACACGTCCATGTGGAGAGTCTGCAGGGGAGCAGTCGTTGGTGGGAACGAGGAGGAGTGAGGAACGGAGTGCTGCCGTCCCTCGACACAGGGAAGTTAGGGAGGGGCAGGCGAGGGTGGGAGGGGAGGCAGAGAGCTGGGAAGACCAGAGACAAGGAGACGGGAGTGCGTGCCACGGAGGGGTGACCAAGGCGGTGGTGCCAAAGGAGCGTATGGTGCAACACGAGCAGGGGGCCGCAAGCTGACCTGACGCAGACCGAGACGCAGCTACCTGAGGAGGCGTACTGTGTACAGACTCGACCCAGGCCGACGGGTGAACGTGGCCAGGTGCCTACCAATCCGGGAGCACGTACAGATCGCCACACGCTGTCCTCCAGGGGTGAAGGTATCAACCCACGCATCCTAAAGGATGGCGTTGCTCACCAAGTTCATAGAGAACAAGGGGAGGTGGAGACCTGATAGTGAGCCAGACGGAACAGTGGAGGAACGTGCATGGACTGGGCCCCCAGAGGGGTCAGCCAGAGAGACAGCAACAGGTGCTGAGAGCGGTGTGACTGTGGTACTGTCGCGAAAGAAACAGCGTGAAGCACGTGAGTCAAGCATGAATGTATGCAAGGCCGCAGCAGACGCGGTACCTGAGTGAGTAGTTTCACCAGTACCTAGAGCAGCGGACTCACTAGCACCTAGAGCAGTAGCCTCTATATCTCGGTCTGGCAGCATACACAGGTAACAGTCACCCTCAACACTAACAGTCAATGCATACATGGCAACAAGGATAGCATCATAATCAACAGTAAAGATATCCACACCCTGCCTAAGCAACTCTGCCCAGCGGGGGAGCTCAGCCGCGTCGGGAAACTCTGCACGGAATGCGTCCGTACGACGAGAGAAGCACCGGTACTGGGTGTGAAGCTTCCCGCATGTCTGACCAGGGCGGTCACCTGTGCAAATGACATACGGGCAAGGACCACTACCCCCATCCGCCCCACGCTGAGCAAACAACTCACGTGGCTCCTGAGGCGAAGGGGCCTCACGCTGACGTTGCTGCTGCTGCCTCTGACCACTCCCAAGGCATCCCCTCTCGCTGGTACCACCCCGGCCGCCACCACTGCCGCCGCCTCCACCCCCACTGCGTCCACCACTGCCGCCGCCACCACCCCCACCGCCGCCACCACCGCCGCCACCTGCACCTCCACCCCCACCTGTTGGAGTGGGCTAGTGTTCGCTCTGCGTTTCTTTTTGGCCTTATATTATTTTTCGGCCACTTTTAGACTTAGTTTCACTTTTGGTTCATCTTAGGTTCACTTTGTAGTTGGTCTCTGCATTGAACACGCCCTAGGTTCAGTTGGTGTTTCCCAACCCTATCTTACAAATGTCTCTCGACACTTTCTCTAGTGCAACTATTCATTCTCACCTAACTCACCTATCGGCCGCCATGGCTCTTCTAAGACTCAAACATGGTATCTAGAGCGATGTCCTAGGCGTCTCCCTAGTCTTCACATCTCCTAGTAATCTTTAGGCTATCGGCCATTTCCACGCCATCTATAGCTATGCGATTTCCTTTCTAAGTTCTAGCATTAGCAATTTACTCATCACCCCGCGGATCTACCCTTAATAGTCGCGCCCAGCTCGTAGACTCCCACCATGATCGCTGTGCCCCGCACTTGCCCTGCTGTCTCGCGCCTCCGTTACCTCGCGCGCTGCCTTGCGCGCTGCCCCAAGCGCCCCTGCTGCCCCGCACTTTGCGTGCGCTTCTGCCTAGCGCGACGCGCCCGCCTCTGCCCTGCGCGCCGCGCGATCCCCCTGCCTAGTACGACTGGCGCTGCGTCGTTCGCAGCTCGCCGCGCTGCACCTACACGCCGCCCTGACGCGCTGCTCGCGCGCTGCCCTCCTGTGCTCCTTATCGGCTGTGCGACGCGCCTGCGCACTGCCTGCCGTGCGCTCGATCTTGGCGCATGCCGCTGCCCTTATTGCCGCCCGCGCTACTGCTTGCACTGAGTCGTGCTGCAGCCCGCCCTGTCGCGCGCCGCCCTGTAGCGTACTGCCCTGCGCGCTGCCCTTCTGCCCTGTCCAAGTGTTACTGCTCGTACTCCCGCTGCCCTGCCCTCCTACGCACCCGAGCCACCCCTTGGCCGCTGCCTTAACTGCTTCTCCCCTCTATCAAGACCCCTCTCTACCTAATCCGCCCCTTCACCCTCCTCTTCCTCTCCTCTCTCCCTCCTTTCCCCTCCTCACCTCTCTCTCTCCTCCGCCTCTCTCCTCTCCCCATCTGCCACAGCTGGTTGCTGATCTTACCCCGTGGTCGTGCTCGTTCTCCCACTTTCCCTCCGCCTCTTCTTTCTCCCCTCAGCGGCGCAGCAGCAGACTCCTCCGCCATTGTCCCTCCGCCTCTTATTTCTCCCTTCAGCGCGCAGCAGCAGACTACTCCGCCCATATTCCTCCGCCTCTTATTTCTCCCCTTAGCGGTGTTGCAGCAGACTACTCCGCCCATATTCCTCCGCCTCTTATTTCTCCCCTCAGCGGCGCAACAGCAGACTAATCCGCCCATATTCCTCTGCCTCTTATTTCTCCCCTGAGCTACTCAGCAGCAGACTACTCCGCCCATATTCCTCCGCCTCTTATTTCTCCCTTCAGCTGCTCAGCAGTAGACTACTCCACCTATATTCCTCCGCCTCTTTTTTCTCCCCTCAGCTGCTGAGTAGCCGACTACTCCGCCCATATTCCTCCACCTCTCATTTCTCCCCTCCGCTGCTCTGCTTCTATCTCCTCCCCTCCTATGGCGCCCATTCTTACGACTCCCTCTCTTCATCGCCGCTACTGTCCTCTCCCTCCTGCTGCTGTCCCTCATCCCTTACCCCTCCTTCCCCTACCCTACGCGTCCTCCGCTCCCCTCTCTCCCATTTGGACCGCCTCTCCCTTCTCCCGCTGGGCCTCTCCTCCTGTCTCGTTTCTACAGTCTCACCAGTGCCACCAGTCCTCTGCCCCGTCATCGCTTTCTGTCGCGACTCCTGGTGCTGATGCTTTTCCCTCTGCTCTCAGTGTAACCATGCCTTCTTATGCTAGCATTTTTGGTGCTTCTCCTCTCATGGACCCTCGCTTTGCTGTGTCGTTTCTTCCTTCTGCTCCTAGCGTTGTTTCTCCCTCTCCGTGCTCTACGATTGCTGCTCTCTCTCTCCCTCGCACCTTGGACTTGGTCCTCGACAGTGGTGCTACTGATTCTGTTTTTCGTGATGCCAATGTTCTTCGTTCCTTTCCCCGCCCGCTCTTTATTCGTGGAGCTGGGGAGACCATGACCCTGACATGCACCGCCACCTCCTCTCTTCCCTGTCCTGCCTCCCCCTCTGGCGGAATCACTGGCCTCTATGTTCCCTCTTGTCGTCATAACCTTCTCTCCCTCTCCGCCCTCCAATCCCTTGGTGTGCGAGCGAGTTTCCCCGCAGGTGAACTCTACTGTGATCTTCATTACCAGGACCGGCATCTCGCTCGTTTCACCCTTTCCCGTGCCTCTCGTCTCTATACCCTCCGTGTTTCTCTCCCCTCGTCTGTGCATCACACTTCCCCTGCTTCCGCTCCACCCATTTCCTCTTGCGACTGTCGATCTCTCACCCAACCTACCCTTCTTCTCCATCATCATCTCGGACACCCAAATTTCCCTCTCCTTCGCATCATGGTCCATTCGAAGCTGCTTCATGACCTTCCCTCCTCTCTCCTGCCCCTTCCTCCCTCTCCCGCCCCTCTATGCACTCCTTGTGTTCAAGCCAAGCTCTCTCAGTCTCCTCATCTTTCTTCCCCTTCTGCCTCCCCCCAGCCTCTTAATCTCGTGCATATGGACCTTTGGGGTCCTTCCCAACTGCCTCCCGACAAGGCCATCGTTACTTTCTCCTTCTCGTTGATGATCATTCTCGCTTTGCCACTGTCTATCCCCTTCGCGCCAAATATGACGCCCCTTCCCTCATCATTCGTTGGGCTGAACAGGCTCGTCTTCGCTTCGGGCGTCCTGTCGCGCGTTTCCTCTCCGAAGGTGGTGGCGAGTTCTTTAATCATTCTCTCTCCTCTTACTGCTCCTCTCACAGCATTCGCCAAACCTCGACCCTCCCGCACTTTCCTAAACAGAATAGTGTTGCCGAGCGTTGCAATCGCACTCTCATAGAGTTCACTCGATGTCTCCTCACCCATGCCTCCGCTCCCCACTCTCTTGGAGCTATGCTCTTGTTCACGCAACTCTTCTTTCCAACCTTCGCCCTCATCCCCTTCGCCCCACCATTACCCCCTTTCAGCTCTGGACGGGCCGCCAGCCCTCTGCTCGCCCTCTTTGGGTGTGGGGCTGTGTCGCTCATGTCCTCGTCAATCCAGCTGATCGGGCACGTCAGGGTGGGAAACTTGCTCCTAAGACGCATGTCTGTGCATTCATTTGCATCAACTCTGTATATCCTGGCTACCTTTTCTATGCTCCCTCCTCTCAGCAGTTCATTGGCAGCCAGGATGTCATCTTTGACGAGATTCGCTCTCCATTCCTCACTCCCCTTCCCACCCCTCCTACTCCTTCTCTCCATTGGTCTGACTTTGATCCGCGTCCCTTCGCTGAATGGCTGCCATCATTGCTGAGTGTGAGGCGTTCACTCGTACCAATTCCCATGTTGACTCTGTCCCCCCCCCTTGGCGCCACCATTGTCAAGAGCAAATGGGTCTTTTGTGTCAAGCAGTTGCCTAGGGAGCTTCCTCTCTTCAAAGCCCGGTATTGCGCCAAAGGCTTTACTCAGCGTGAAGGCATTGACTACTTTGCCACTTACTCTCCCACTGCTCGTCTCCCCACCCTTCGCCTCCTTTTTGACCCTGGTGCTCGCTGGGATTGGGAGATCCATTCTATGGATGTCTCCAATGCTTTCCTTCAGGGCGAGCTTCATGAGCGCATTTTCCTTGAGCGCCCCCCGGCTTTCTTTGCCCCTTTCCTCCAGGCACTGTTTGGGAGCTGAAGCGCCCTGTGTATGGCCTCAAGCAGGCTCCCCGCGAGTGGCATGCCAAGCTCGCCTCCTCTTTTCACTCTCTTGGTTTCTTTACCGCTACCTCCGACCCCGGTCTTTTCATTCGCACTTCCCCTTACAGGCTTTACATTCCTGCTTATGTGGACGACTTGGTGCTGCTTGCTGAGGATTCTGCCGATTTGACTGTTGTAAAAAAGGCCCTGTAGGCGCGTCTTCTATGCAAGGATCTCGGCGAGCTTCGTCACTATCTTGGCATGGAGATTCGTCGCGATCGTGCTGCCCGCACCATCTCTCTCTCTCTCTCTCTCTCTCTCTCTCTCTCTCTCTCTCTCTCTCTCTCTCTCTCTCTCTCTCTCTCTCTCTCCCTCTCAATCGTTCTACATCCACTCCATCCTCCAGCAGTTCGAAATGTCGCAGGCCAAACCGGTCTCCACCCCCCTTCCGTTTAACCATCAGCCCCTGTTGTCCCTGCTCCCTCCTCAAAATTGCGCCCCTATCCAGAGCTCGTTGGATCACTCATGTATGGTATGATGTACATTCGCCCCGGTCTTGCTTATCCCTTCAGTGTCCTCTCTCGTTTTGTTGGCCTTGGTCGCCACACTGACATGCATTGAGCGGCTGCCAAGCGCGCTCTTCGCTATCTTCGCTCTACCTCTGATCTTGCACTTACTCTTGGCGGCTCTTCTCCCCCCGTTCTTTCCGAATACAGTGAATCTTCCTACGCTAATTCTCGCCCTGATCGCCGCTCCTTTCAGGGTTATGGTTTTACTCTTGGTAGTGGTCTCATCAGCTGGCGCTCCACTCGCTCATCCTCTATCTTTCTTTCCACCTGTGAAGTTGTGTTGTACGCAGGCACATTGGCGGCTCAGGAGGCTCGCTGGCTCTCCTTTCTTCTTGCTGAGCTTGGTCACTCTCAGCAGTCTATGACCCTTTCTGCGACAGTGCGAGCATGATTCATCTCACTGAAAATCCTATTTATCATGCGCGCACCAAGCACATAGAGGTCCGCTACTACTTTGTGCGCGAGCTGGTACAGTCTGGTTTCCTCTGCCTTCGCAAGGTGGCCGCCGACGCCAACCTTGCTGACATCTTTACCAAGGCCCTTCTACGTACGCCGCACCGTTTCTATGTCCGCGCGATTGATCTCTCTCGTCTTGTCACTTCTGGGGGTGTTCCGGTTCGCTAGGTGTTCTGTTTCAGAGCTTCACATAGCCTGGGGGTGTATTGGAATGGGCTAGTGTTCGCTCCGCGTTTCTTTTTTGCCTTATATTATTTTTCGGTCACTTTTAGACTTAGTTTCACTTTTGGTTCATCTTAGGTTCACTTCGTAGTTGATCTCTGCATTGAACACGCCCTAGGTTCAGTTGGGGTTTCCCAACCCTATTTTACAAATGTCTCTCGACACTTTCTCTAGTGCAGCTGTTCGTTCTCACCTAACTCACCTATCGGCCACCATGGCTCTTCTAAGACTCACTTTAACACCACCTCCACACTCTCCGCCACCGCCGCCCCCTCCACCGCCGCCTCCACTTCTGCCACCCCCACCGCCCCTGCCTCCCCTGCCCCTGCTGCTGCGGCGCCTCCCACTAGGGACAAACGCAGCTCCCACCTCCTCAGCACGAATGTAGTCAACAGCTGCAGCAGAGGCGATGGAGGGGAGAAGGTGGGAGGCTGCGCACCCCTCAAAGAAAAGAGTGCCACGGGAAGCACCTACAACGACTATGCTAGTCTCAGCTGCAAAGAGGTGCTTCTCGAGGAGGACGATAGTGAGGTCTGTGGGGTCAAGGGCAAGAAGGAGGTCCCTGGCACCGCTAAGAGAGTCAGGGAGGCAGGTGACTATGAAGTAAAGAGTGATGTGCAAGGGAGGAGGGTTCTTGTTGAGGAACTCGGCAGGAATTGCGGCTCGGTAGCAGATGTCAATAGTGCGTAGGTGAGTGACGAGGTCGGCGACTGTGGCAAAGGCGGACATCTCTCGCAACAGGTAGGGCAGTAGAAGGTGGCCTAGAGTAGCAGTGGCCGGGGAGGAGTAACGAGCGACTACATCATCATATAGGGCTTTAGCAGTCATGTACTGGCCAAAGTGAGCACGTTCGGCTAACGGCAGGTGATTGCGAACGGCTAGGCGAGCAGTAGCGTCACGGGTAAGCCACTGTGAGCAAGTCGTACTGTCAGCTGTGTCGTGAGGGGCAGGAGAGTCTCTAGACGTCAGGTCAAACTGCGAAATACCGTCCTTAAAGTCGCTCAGTAAGAACAGCTGTAAGTCATCGAGCCAAGACTGGAACTCTCTCGGGCGGCCCTCCGGATCGAAGGTGAGGACGCTGAGAGTTTCCATAGCTGCCAGGGCAGGCGAGTGCGGTAGTAGCAGGACAGCACGCAAGCAGCAAGGCAGGACGGCAGCCGGCAAGGCGGCTCACACACAGGGTAGCGCAGCTGCTAGCGACGCATGGGCAAGGCAGGGCGTGTGGCTGCTGGCGGCGCGCGGGCAGGGCAAGGCACGCGGCGGCAGGAGACGCACGGGCAGGGTAGGGCGCTCAACGGCGGGCGGATCGCGGGCAAGGCAGGGCACACGGCAGTGAGCGGCGCGTTGGCAAGGC